CTGCCGGCTGCCTTCCAAGGGGAAAAGAGCACACACGAGCTCTTTTGAGCCTTTTGAGGGGAGGAAAGGGAAGGGTACTCGGCACACGCTGATTGGTGGTTTCGTATAAGGCACATAGTTAGAGACTTAGGAATGGGGGGGGGGACTTTAGGGTATTTGGCAGGTGCTGATTGGTGGTTCAGTGTACAGTCCATATAAGGTGCCTGGTTAGGTGCTCAGGAATGTCTGAGCTGCAGGTGGAGTTTACATCATTCTCTGTCCATCCGTTGGGGGAAGGGAGGATCTATCACATCATATTTAGTATAGGTATATGCCCAAACGATATTGAAGAGTTACTTAAACTAAAACAATTTTTCACTGCTCATCTGAAATCAAATTTATCTGGATCCGACTTGATCCTGCTCCCAGAGGACCAAGCCTAACACCAACTCTCAAGATCCAGTGACCCACCCCGAGGCTAAGGATCAGCACTGAAGTTAAGAAAGTGTGGACAGCTGAAACCAGTTTGGCTCAGTGGTAGAGTGTCGGTCTGCGGACTGAAAGGTCCCAGGTTCGATTCCGGTCAGGGGCATGTATGTTGGTTGTGGGCACATCCCCGGTAGGGGGTGTGCAAGAGGCAGCTGGTCGATGTTTCTCTTTCATCGACATTTCTAGCTCTCTATCTCTCTTCCTTCCTCTCTGTAAAAAATCAATAAAATATTAAAAAAAAAAGGAAAAAAAAAAGAAAGTGTGGACAAAAGGGGCCACAGGCTAACCTGACTAGCTCAGGGAAGGCCTGCATGGTGGTCTTGCAAACTCAGAGACCTAAAGTAACCACAAAGGATGGTCTGAAATTAAACTTTAACTAAACGCAGCTATGGTGGGCAGTTACAGCCTAGGCTGGTATCTTCCCTGATAAGGTCAACCTTTATTTTAACTGAGCGTATCTTTTTTTTTTTTTTTTTTTTTTTTTTGCATCTATAATAACAGACCCTTGAAAAGTCTGGATAATTTATAACTTCCCTTTTTCTGGAGCCCCTGGGGCACAACCTAATGGGGTGGGACAGATGCCACAAATTCCTTCATTATCATGTTAATTGTTCCTACACCCACCTAAGTATGAGTCCATCATTTTACTTTTTATCCAATCCCAAGGGTTTCCTCCGATTTGCTTTATCCCACCTCCTTAATCCATCACCAATGAATTTCATGTAACCCACCTATGTCCCTCCTTTGATTGCAATGTATAAATACAGATGTAACCTGCCATTCTCTGGAGCATTATCTCAATTCCTTGAGGTTCTGCTTCCTGACAGTTTGGTTCAAATAAACTCATAAAAATTCTTTACAGGTTTCAATGGTTTTCTTACGTTAACAAAGGAAAGGTAACCCTAGCCAGTGTGCTCAGTGGTAAGAGCACCTGCCCTCCCACTGAAGGTCATAGAGTTCGTTTCCCAGTCAAGGGCATGTACCTGGGTTGTGGGTTCCATCTCTGGTGGGGGCAGATGGGGGAGGCAACCAATTGATATGTCTCTCTCACATCGATGTTTCTCTCTCTCTCTCTCCCTGTCTCTCTCTCCCTCCCTTCCATTCTCTCTGAAAAGCAATGGGGGGGGGGGGGGGAAATCTTCATATAAGGATTAACAAAAGAAAGAAAGAAAGAAAGAAAGAAAGAAAGAAAGAAAGAAAGAAAGAAAGAAAGAAAGAAAGAAAGAAAGAAAGAAAGAAAGAAAATTTGTTTTGAGAATGACCTATGAGGGCCTGAAGCCACAAGGAGCAGGTGACTCCTGATCTAATCATCTTTAGTCACCATAGAAACAAGCCATAAAATCCACCAGAAAGAGCTGGTCAACAGTATCTGCCACCTCATGACCAATAAAGACCATCCACATTCCCTTCCCTGGTGAGGTCCTGTCAGGCCTGGTTTCATTGCCCCAAAGTCTCCCGGCCACTGCTTTTCCTCCCGGCCACAGCCTCAGATGGCCACCCTGCAATGCCCACCCCGTTGGGAGAGACAGGCAACTGGATGTATCAAAGAGAAAACCAGAACCAGACGGCAGTTAAAGCAATAAAAACAATTTGCAACAGGGAAAACCAGATCTCGGTCTGCAGGGCTGTGTGGAGCTCAGTTCCAAATGCAGCCCGGCCAGTGGTCACTCGCAGCCAAATAGCAGAGTGAGGCCATGGGTGGGAAACTACTAAGAGGAAACCTCAGCTGTAAGGGGTCTCTGGCTAAACTGACTTAACAGGATTTCTGCTGGTGGCAGACCAGAGTGATCCGACATCCCCTGAGGGTGTGTGTGGGGTGGGGCGGGAGGTGATCAGATATGGAGGGTGGAGGATTCTGGCTGAACAGACTTGGCAGGGTTCCTGCTAAAACAGGATTTTACAAGAAGATACATCGATGGGCCCAGGAGTAGGTTCATGACTTTGACTAAAATCTGGCCAAGCAAAGAACCTTTGTCACCTGCCCATGATACGGTCACATTCTACCAGAGGAACAGGCCACACATGAGAGAAGTAGCCCAAGGACATACAGAAAAAAAACAAAAAGAAAAAAAAAACGTGTTCTGAACAAAACAGGTCTGACGGAACTGTCTCTGTCCTTCCCCGGAGAAAATAACTCTCTCCTAATCCAGGGTGTGATTCAATTGATTGGGGAAATGTTCAATCTTTCAGACAAGTCACAAGCTGGCAGGCAGCTCTGAATACAAATGCAGGGGTTTGCACTGATGCGTTTTATTTGACTCTGGAAACCAGAGGCTCTCTGAAGGTAGCGTGCAAATGTGTCCAAAATGCCCCTGACTTCGGGAGAAAAGTCCCAAAAACCGGATCATGCACATATGCAAGGGTAGTGCTCATTAATGCCTAGTCTGAGGTCCCTGCTACCTGGGAACACACATGTCAACCCTGGTTTTCCCCTGTACAGCCCAGGCTAGCGAGGCTGGCAGACACCTGGAGCCTCACTGTAGGTCATTCCCTAACATTCCAAGATGTCCACATGGTGGTCTTTGCCCCACATGACCCCTTTCTCCACCTGGAGCAGTTCTGCTCCTCTGTCAAGCCCCTGCTTAAATCTTCCCTACATTTCAGCACATGGGGCGGAGCAACTGTGAGAACTGAGGCCACAGTGGCCAAGCACCCAGCACAAGCGGACACAGATGGGGTACCCAATCTAGGACAGCTCTGATTGTCACCCTCATGCCCTCGCTCCTGCCCCTCTTGAGGAACCCCATGCCTTTCCCGGCTCCCTCTGTCTCTTAAGCATTGCTACACGGTTACCCACGTGCTCACCCCTCCTCCGTAACATCTCAGATTCCTTGAGGGTAGGGACCTTGTCTCACTTGTCTTTGGGGTCGTCTCACGTCTGGCTCTGGGCCTGGCACTTCGTGGGCGCCAATTCCAAATAAATCCTCCTGTCTCCGAGGCTCCAAGGACAACAGTTGATGAATGGTCAAATAATGGCAATACATTAAGATTCATTTGAAGATACGGCTAGAGAGACAGGCAAAGACTGTGCTACTAGTGACATCATGTCGGGCTGGTGACACCATTGGTCATTAATAATGTTTCCTTCAGGACAGTGCCCTTGGCTTGGACACTTGGGGAAAATGGTCCAGAGTCCCACTGAGCGTGTCACTGTGGCCTGTGGGAACTGCCTCTGACTGTGATGGGCTGCCAGGGCATGGCATGCACCATCCTGCCCCTTGCAATAGAAGCTGTACGTCCTGTATCCCTGCAGGTCCCAGAATCTCAGTGATATTTCTGGATAACTGAATCCATGCCTCTTCAAACACACAAACTTAATGATATTGTTGAGGACAAGAAGCTCAGAAGAAAGCTCCTTCTGGGTCTCCCTTCTCCCTCAGACCTAGGAGAACAGGCTCCAGAGAAGGAACGCTCCCAAGTGGTGTGTGGGCCAGACACCCTCCATGTCCACTCAGACCTCTGTGCCGTCCCCTCCTCTGGGAAGCCCCTGTCTGTCAGGTGACCTCCTACAGCAGGTCTCCCCGCGATAAAAGGGTCTGGTGCAGTCTCTTGAGTGCTTTTCTGGTTCAACACTGGTCATTTTCACAAGTCTGAAGCAGGGTTACGGTAAGCAGGAGGAGTGGGCAGGCAGGTCCTATCTCTGCAACTTTAGTAACAAAATCCTCGGTGATGGGGAAAGTGTGCCCAGTGGGCCTGCAGCAGATCCTTGAAGGCTTCGAACTTCGACCTGTGGGGTGACAGGCACGGGGTGCAGACTAGAAACCTGGAGGTGAGGACAGTCCATCTCGGGCTGAAAACCAGGAGCAGGGTTCTATAGAAAGCCAGAACGCTCTGCAAACAAGCCTAGGGCTTTCTGCGGGCATTGCCTCCTAGCAGCCTCGGGAAATCCATGAAGAAGCAATGGGGTGATGGTCATGGGGGGCTGAAGGCATGGATCTGGGGGAGACAGAAGTCTCTGCCTGCAAATTCCTGCCCCATCATTCACCAGCATGATCAATGTCGTTTCTATCGCTCTACAACGGTCTCCCAGGGCGCAGGAATGAGCTTCCTCCGCCACTCTTCTGGAAGATGTGAGCAGCACCACAGGCTGGGATCCCTAGGGACACTCCCAGCCTCCACGCGCTCCCCCCTCCCCCCCAGGAGGTCCCTGGGTTCCATGGGAAGGGGAGATTCCCATGCTGGACAGCAACACTTTGTAGTTTGCCTCTGACATCATTCAGCTCAGCTTCTCCAAAAACGGTTTACGAAACGCTCTGACATCCAAGATGCACCCTCGTTGCACCACCGTCCCATCAGTTCCTTTCACTAATGGGGAGACCTGTGGGAACCGGCGCGCCGGGTTTCAGGGGGCGGAGCCAGCGGGCAGGGGCGGGGCCAGCGGGCAGGGGCGGGGCCTGTGCTAGTCACGTGCCGCCCGGCCCGGAAGCGCTAGCGCTCGAGACCCCGGGGTGACCGGGTCAGGGGCTGTAGTTTCCAGAGACCGTGGAGGTCGCGGGGGTCCCTGCAGCGTCGCGCCCCCCTCCGCCGCCGCCATGGCCTGGACCAAGTACCAGCTGTTCCTGGCCGGGCTCATGCTCGTCACCGGCTCCATCAACACGCTCTCCGCCAAGTGAGTCCGGGCGGCGGGAGGGAGGGCCGGGGGCGCCGCGGGGCCTGCCGCGGCCGCGGGGTGCTGGCGACCCCCCACCTTCCCCGCCACCTTCCCCACACCTTCCCGGCCTACGCCTCTCAGCTGTCCTCTCCCGGCCTCACCCGGGCGCCCAGTTTCTCCGGCCGGTTCGCTCGGTGTAGGGACCACCCAGCCCGGAGATGAGAGGCCTGGGCTAGTGCAGGCCGTGCTGGTGCCCGCGCCGGAGGGAGCCCATCCGGCTGTGACCCGCTGTGAGCTCCATCCTGCGAGTCACTTCCACCTCCGCGACCCAGTTCCATTTTTTAAATATATATATATATAGATATAGATATAGATATATATTATTGATTTTTACAGAGAAGAAGAGAGAGGGATAGAGAGAAACATCGATGAGAGAGAATTATCGATCAGCTGCCTCTTGCACATCCCCCACTGGGGATGTGCCCGCAACCAAGGTACATGCCCTTGACCGGAATCGAACCTGGGACCCTTCAATCCTCTGACCGGCGCTCTATCCACTGAGCCAAACCGGTTTTGTTTGGCTCAGTTCCATCTTTAAACGACGGAGGGTTGGACCGGTTCCTCTCCGGGACCGGACCCCTTCCCATGCCGGCGCGGGAGGCCCCGCCCTCCCGGCCCTGTAGGGGTGCTGGGAGGGGGTCGGGGTGGCCCGCAGACGTGTGCTCGGGAGAGCTACGGTGGAGGCCATGCGGGGCCGAATGATCCGAGAAGGGGCAGCCCTGTCGGCCCGCATGGAGGAAGGGTGAGGCTGGCATTTGATTTGGCAGGGACATCGCGGAAGCGGCAAGGCCAGACGAAAGTGGACCAACACCGAATGTCCGCGCTGGATGTTACCCCATAATCAAAGAGGGGCTCCTGAGCAGGGAGGGAGGGGCTGAGAGTGGCATGATGAGGCTGGTGGTCAAGGTGAAGCATGGTTTGGTGCAGGGAAACCCACCCCAAGGCTGCTGCCAGCAGGTGAGGGGAACTCGGAGGGGGCAGTGAGGTGGAGGAGACCAGGGGCAGAGAGAAGCCACAGGCGGATCCCCAGGATCCAGAGACGATGATCACTCCATCCAGGATGTCTGCCTGGAGAACAGAAGCGCCATTAACCCAGACAGGGAGGCCAGGCGGGCAGTTCAGCCATGCGGTATGAGGCTGCGGTGCTGGTGGGAGGTGAGGACAGGCCCTGGGAGGCTGGGGATTGAGCACCCCGGATTGTCATGAGAGGAGGAACCAAACAGAGCCTCCTCTCTGTAACAAGAGAAGAGGACAGGGGTCCGGAAGGCAGCCCCTTCTTTTCGCAGCTCTTCGCCTCTGTCTCTGCCCCACCTCCAAGCAGGGCCTTCCTCCCCTCTGTTCACCGTCTAAGAGCCCCAGGACCAGAGCGTGGCCTTCCTCTGAACCGATTGATTCCATGGTGCACGTGGAGAATGGTGGACAGCAGTCTCCCTCCCCGTCAGGCTCCAGAGCAAGGAGGAGTCACTCCCGTCACCCTCTGGCCTGTGCTCCCTGGAGGAGGGGGCTGGTCATGTCTTACTCATTTCTGAGGCTTTGGCTCCCAGCACATGACACCAGTGATGTGAGAAATGCCCCCAGAAGAGAGGCCTGGCGGGAAAGTATCCTATTCAATGCATCAGGCGTGTGTAAAGCACCGTATGAGGTGCCGTCTGGACTCAAGGAGGAAGACAGAGATGGTCTCTGCCTTTGAGGCGCTTACAATCCGAGGTGGAGGAGGCAGACATGTACGCACTTAGCGACCACAGGAAGTGGAGCTCTGGGTGGGGCCCACCTTCTGTCTGTGACAGCTGCATCTGTGTGTCCAGGCTGGTCTCCTGAGCCCTGAGCCTCCTGGAGGTCACTCCTTTGTGAGCCTTAGCTCGAAAGGAGACTCAACCTGAGGGCCCCACCTTGCGTTAGGATCTGCTCCCAGCAGAGCCAGGGGCCCATCTGTAGCTCCAGCCAAGACCTCAGGCAACTGCTTAGAGAGTGGCGGTAGGTCTGCCTGGGCTGCTGTCCCCAAGGAGAGTTGAGATTGCAGGTTATTCTAGGGGTAAGCGGGGCTGACTCAGCTCCTTCTTTCAAAAGCTCCAAACCGGTCAGGTGGGAACCAAAGGATCCTCCGCCTGCCTCCGGAGGCCTTGCCTTGAGCGGCAGGAAAGAAGCTGGCAGGTGGGAACCCAAGCTTTGATCCTGTCCCCGGCCCAGAATTGCACTCGAAACAGTGCCCCGGGCCAGCCTGGGAGAAGGATGCTCTCGGAGAGAAAGAACTTGGGAAAGTGGCCGGGTGTATCCTGATGGGAATTAGTTCTCAGTTTGAAATCACACTCTGGCCTGCAGTTTGGGGCTTGGACAGACACGTAAGAATGTGATCATAGCGAGTGCTAATCGGCTCATTCACAGAGCGCACGGCCGTGTGCCAGGCCTGTCTCTGGCCGCCTTTCACATGTTAAATGAATGAAGTCTTATTGCCGCCCTATGAAGTAGGTAGTAAACTCATTATTCCCGGATCCGGAAACTGGTGTGGAAAGATGGGCTTGCTTGCCCTAGTTCGACTCAGCTGTTATAGGACTTGTATTTGAGCCTAGGTAGCCCGCTCTGGAATCCATGCTCTTAATCGCCAACGTGGGACGAGGCTGGGGACTTCTTTAGTCATTTGGGGGGGGGGGCATTTGGAGTTGTTAGAAACAGAAATTATCCGTTCTAACCCCCACAATTTACAGTCAGGTCTCAATAGAAGTTTTGTTTCATGACTCAGCTGGCTGGGTCAGAGCAGGGACCAGAACCTAGGTCTCAGCATGGTGGCCCAGGCCTATCCCTTAACCATTGCAGTACCCCAAAGTGCCTCTTTCTTGGGCGGGACTTCCGCCTTTTCCCTGCCACAGGTAGCATCTCCTGAGGAAGATTTCCTGGTTGCACTGAGAGAGGGCTCCTTCTCATTTATCACGACGTGAGCCCGGGTTACCCTAGGGAGTGGAGAAGCCCTGGCCTCCTATAGATCCCTCGGGGAGAAAGGCGCTGACTCACGGGGCTTGACAAGCCAGGAACTCAAGAGGAAATGGCAGAGATTCTGCGGGGAATGGACACACAGCCCATCGGTCTGGGGCAGCCACTTCCTCCTTCTCAGTCCACCCACACACAGACGCACACACAGACACCCGCCTCTCAGAATGCTGAGCTGTGATTTTCACTGGGCAAGGCCGTGTGTAGGGGAGCCCACCCTAGCCTGCTGAGGCCCCGGGAGCTCTGAGAGAGGCGCCTGCTCATGCGGCCTCAGCCCGACCCTGGTGGGTCCCCACCGGCCGCCTGCCCTGGAGACCATGGCTTTCCCCTGGACACAGTATCCACAGAGAACGGAGGCCCCGTCTGCAGAGTTGAGCCCCTGCCCCGCCTCATCAGGGGAGTGGGAAGAGATTGGAATAAGCAGGTGATAGTGAACCTCGGGTGTGAGGAGAGGGCTCGGATCTGGAGGTGGAGACTCCTGGGTACCAGCCCTTCTGGGCACCTCAGCCCTCTGGTTCCTGGGTTCCTGTCAGTGGAATGGGAGCTTTGTGAGATGATGGCTGAGTTTCTCACTCTCTTTGCAAGTCTGGAACTGCTGGGGCAGTAGCCTGAGGCCCTTCCAGCTGCCTCAGCCTCAGCCAGCAGGGTAGATCCAGGAGAAAGGATGCTCCACTGGAGAAGGGACACTCCCTGGGGCAGGAGCAGAACCTGGCGAACCACAAGGGGCTGTGGCTCCTGCTCAATCAAGGGGAAAGGGAGGAGGCGCAGAAAAGAACTTTAATTGATCACCTGCCGTGATGCACCAGGTCTTACATATCTTATTAATTACTTTTGACAACTCATTAATATTAGCCATATATTATTATTATTATTATTATTATTATTATTATTATTAACTTCAGAGAGGAAAGGAGAAGGAGAGGAAGATAGAAACATCAATGATGAGAGAGAATCATTGATCGGCTGTCTCCTGCATGCCTCCTACTGGGGATCAAGCCTGAAACCCGGGCATGTGCCCTTGTCCGGAATTGAACCTGGGACCCTTCAGTCCGTAGGCCGATGCTCTATCCACTGAGCCAAACTGGCTAGGGCAGTATTATCCCCATTTTATAGATAAGAACACTATAACATGTCCAGTCTATGAAACTCAAAGTCAGCTTTCCATGTAGCCTGTTGCCTTTGCTGAATGTAAATGTCAGCACGTGGGTTTGGTTGGGCCCGCTGTTAACTGTTTGAGCCTGAACACGCCTCTCTCCACCCCTCCACCCCACACCCTGAAGTCCCCGTCTGTAAAATGAGGATCCCTGTGAGGCTACGACCAGACAGCCCTTGGGAAATGCTGGGCACAGGCCTGGCACAAAGTCAGTACTCAGTGAGCCCTCTATTTACAAAAACATTTCATTGACATGATTTGCAAATAGCCAAGCGCTATCCCACATTAGGGTCATTGCTGTCATCCCCAGGTGGACTGGGCTGGATTTTGGCTCTTGTTCAGTGCTGCTGAGGTCCTCCTGTGCCTGCACAATGCACTGAGGTCTGTCTCGGGGCCAGGACGTGAAGCCTAACTCCTCTCAAAGTGTCTGCTGGCCTGATCCTGTCCCAAAGACAGATGACACCTAATCCCTCGGGCTGTCAGCCATCCCCAGGCGCTCAGATACAAAAAGACTCCTTTTCCCCAGCAGGGAACGCTGCCAGCCCCAACCTGTTCAGGCAGACCCAACCCTTGGAGAAAGCAAACACAGCCCTTTAGGGTGGAAGTGGGGGAGGGGAGGAGCCCTGCACCAGCCCTGCATCCAGCTCCCCACCCACTGCCCCACCCTGGGCCCAGCTTGTCCCACCAGCAGGGGGCACCTCAGACCAGGTGGGAAATTGGGACTCATGAGTCACTGCCTCTGGACTGAACGTAGCACCTGCCTATTTGCTTGGAGGGACTGAAAGTCTCATTCAGTCAACCAAAAACGGTTTGAGCTTCTGTATAGTGATGTGCCAGGAGCAGGGCACAGAGTGGGAGCTGCTGGATGCTGAACTTACACTCTAAATGGCAGTGAGTGGGACCAGAGAGTGAGACAGATGTGAGTTGTCATCTTGAACCTGCCAACCTCTGCTCCGGTGTGGCCCCAGGATGAGGAAGGGGCTTCTGTGCCTGCCCATGGCCATGGCTTCTGGTTGACCTTACAGACTTGGCAGGACCTCCCTTACCCACCCCTCCTGCAGGAGCCTCCCACCTCTCCAACCTGCTCAGTGCCTCCGGGGAAGCTGGCTCTGGGCCTCTTCACTCCTCCTCCTCTGACTCACTCAGTTGCCTCCACAGACCCTCCCAGGGGGCTCTTCCTGCAAAAGCGAATGGCTTGTAAACCATGCCTGCCCTGAGCCACAGCTGCCTGTGGCCCCCACCCACGTCCCCTGCCCCGCCCTCCCTGGGGACCCACGAGCCAGAACCTGGAGCAGACCAGGCGGAAATGAGACCCCCGAGAGCGGTGGTTTTATTCTGCAGCGAGGGCTTCCTTTCTCCATTGGTGCAGGGCTGGTTGTAGCCAGTGCCCTGACCCGGATTCCTCTCTGCCTTCCCAGCAGTCACATCAGAACCTCTCCCCGCCCTGTGTCATTCCCAAGAACCAGGAGCCCTCCTAACTGCCCCTCTTACCCCGTCTCAGAGATAAGGCGGCCTCGGCCCTGTTTGCTCCCTCGCCCTGGGATGTGTTCAGACATCTGGGTAGACGTGGTCTCTCCCTCACGGGCCTGCGCTGCCCTCCCGGGTGACCAGGAGCTCCATCACCATTCAGCTCGCCCTCCCGCTGCCAGCACCCGGGCACCGTGCCCTTGCCCTGGGCTGTGGGAAAGAGCTTCCTCTTCCCCTCCCCAAACTCAGGGCACAGAAGCCAGGGCTGGACAGGATGTGTGTCAAACCCAGACTCTCAACTGCTTGGCACAACCAGGGGCCCATGCTTGTGGCTCTGTGGGGGGCACAGGAAGCAGAACCCACACACACACACTTGTGCAGAGATGCCTCTGGAGAAGGGCTGGGCACTGCAGGGTGGCTGCTCTTGGCAGACGTTTTGGGGAAGTCCTGAACTCTCCGTTTAGGACAGCCTCCGCCTTCGGTGGGTGCTGCAGAGGGAGCAGCCGCAGCCACAGAGAGCAGCCCTGGTCTGAGGGCCTGAGTCAGCAGTGTGACACAGCCCCGGTTGTGTCACCTAACCTGAGTCAGCAGTCGTGTCAGCTAACCAGGCATCCCACGTGAGAGAGGGGTCACTGCCTCGCCAGGCTCAGTCTGGGCCAGGTCACATGCCCCTGGCTCTGGGCCAGGCCCACCAGCACGCCTCCAGAAGCCAGCAGCCAGGGAAGTGAAAGGTTAGGAAGGGCTGGGCTGTTCAGCCAGGAGACGAGAAGAGTCAGAAGGTGGAAAAGTCCCCACATCTCTGAAGGGCTTTCGAGCGAGCGAGAGAGAGAGAGAGAGAGAGAGAGAGAGAGATCAGACTACCCTGTTTCCCCAAAAATAAGACAGTGTCTTATATTAATTTTTGCTCCCAAAGATGCGCTAGGTCTTATTTTCAGGGGATGTCTTATTTTTCCATGAAGAAGAATACGGTACACATTTATTGTTCAATGAAAATAAAGGAAATTTTATTACCTGTATATGGTATGGTAGTACGGTAGTTGTCAACACAAACCAGACAAACTGTGAATCCTACAGTATCAAGAATTTACTCATTTATTCAATGACAATCATGTCATCATCTTCTGGAACATCATCATAACAATCCAATTCCTGAATTTCCTGGTGAATTTCTTGTGACTCCATTTCTTTCAGAGTCAGTGGACCAAATCTCTCATGTTTAGCCTAGGGGGCCTTATTTTCAGGGGATGCCTTATATTTCACTCAGAAGGAAACCTGTAAGTAGGTCTTATTTTTGGAGGATGTCTTATTTTCGGGGAAACACGGTAGACTGCAGCACAAATGATATTCAAGGGCGGGACTTCAGTGCGCAGAGGGCGGACAGCACAGAATGGTGGTGGTAGCTGTCCAGTGCCCTGGGCCGTGAAGGATTCTGGGCCCGTGTGGGCTCTTTGGGGAAGTGAGCCATAGTCAGTTACGCCGTCTGCCAGGGAGCTGGCAGGGAGCCGCTCCACTGGTGCCGGGCACCGGCCACCTGCCTCCGCGTCTGCGCTGGAAAGACCCTCCAAGCCTCCGGCCACAGGAAGGTGACCGGGGTCTGCGTCAGGCGGCCTTTCCCGGGCCAAGTACCCTTGTAGCCAGTGACTGGATAGTGTGCAGTGTGGCTCTTTGATAACCTGGTGAATCCTAACGTGATGCTTTAAAACATGCAAATAAAAGACTGAGGATCTGCCGAAACCAGTTTGGCTCAGTGGATAAAGTGTCAGCCAGCAGACTGAAGGGTCTCCGGTTCAATTCCGGTCAAGGGCATGTGCCTGGGTTGCAGGCACATCCCCGGTAGGGGGCGTGCAGGAGGCATCTGATCGATGTTTCTCTCTCATTGATGTTTCTGGCTCTGTATCCCTCTCCCTTCCTCTCTGTAAAAAAATCAATAAAATATATTTAAAAAAAAAAAAAAGACTGAGGATCACAGGAAAAAGCCAATTTTGCTGACATGACGTTATCAAAACAAAGAGGCAAGTTCACGAATAGTAATATGTGTCTTTTCGCTTCTTAACACATAAAATTGTAAACTGTGGGTCTAATTACTATAAATTTGGAGCAGTGATGGGTGTGATGGTACTTCACAGCATCCGCAGCGACCCTCGTGGGAGCATGAGAGCGGCTGTGATTTCTGCGACAAAGCCCCAGGGCTGCTGTGCCGCCTTCCGAATTCCAGGGAAAACTTAATTTCAGTTAGAGGTTCATGACATTTCAGGAAAGGCTCTCAGGCCCCCCCCCCATTCTTTCCACACCCCCAGGTGAAGACTCCTTGCACAGAGACTGGCCCCTTTGAGAGGGAGCCCCACTCTGGGCCCAGTCCCCCAAGTATGGCCTCCTGGCGATGGAGGAGCGAGCTTGTCCCCAGGCACCGCTGCACGACAGGGTGTGACCTTCTCTCTCTCCGCTGCAGGTGGGCTGACAACTTCGTGGCCCAGGGCTGCGGAGGAAGCCAGGAGCACAGCTTCCAGCACCCCTTCCTCCAGGTATCTGCCCCGTCCTCCCCACGACCCTCCCTCCTCCACCTCCTGTCGCCCAGGCCTCCTGGCCCCGGAGGCCCTGCTCTTTCTGGGTCCGGGGGTGGAGTCTCCCCTGCTCCCAGGAGAATTGCCCACGCCTCCCTCCCTCCCCAGAAGAGAGGCCAGAGTGTGAGTGCCCTGGGAGGGAGCAAAGGGCACTGTCCCTGGGAGAGGCCCGAGCGGGCACTGGGAGCCAGCCCTGACCACGTCAAAGTCAGGTCACACATTTGGAAAACATCAGCCCTCATAGCCAAACCTGCTCTCCACCCATCGGGAGCCCAGACCCCACAGGGACAGGGACCGTAAATAGGAGGCACCCTATTGATCCACAGGGAAGTGGGAGACCCGGATTTCGGCCCAGCTCTGCCAGCAACTTGCTCTGCGACCTTAAATGAATTCCTGAGCCTCGCTGGACCTCCGTTTATCCTTCCGGAACTTGACCAGGGGTTTGCCTAGATCAGTGGTTTTCAAACAGGGCTCTGCACAGCCTTGTGTCAAACTGTTCAAGGGGTTTAGGGGTGACCCAGGAGGCAGTCTCTGGCCTCCCACCCACAGCAGCTTTGATTGTGCCAGTTCTGTGTGTAGGGGTTACAGGGAAGCTCTTGTCTGAAGAAAGCTTATGTTAAAGATATTTTGGTTGAAGGTGACCATCCCTCCAGTTCTAAACCCGCAGGGTTCTGTCCCCGCAGGCGGTGGGCATGTTCCTGGGGGAGTTCTCCTGCCTGGCCGCCTTCTACCTGCTCCGGTGCAGAACCGCGAGGTACTCGGACGCCAGCATGGATCCCCAGCAGCCCTTCAACCCCCTTCTTTTCCTGGCCCCGGCCCTCTGCGACATGACCGGGACCAGCATCATGTATGTGGGTGAGTAGCCGGGCCAGGCCACGTGGGGCTCAGAGAAGCCCGTGACCCCAGGCGGCCATTGATGCGACAGCCACTCCCGCCCCAGCTCGTCGTCACCCACCCCTGCCCTCTCCCGCACCCTCACCCGAGAGTCACTGAGCACCTGCCAGGTGGGAGGCATGTCTCCAGCCCCGAGAACAGCTCAGCGGGCAGCCCGCCTGGACTCTCGAGAACTAATGCCACGTGTCTGTCCTCCCCCAGCCCTGAACATGACCAGCGCCTCCAGTTTCCAGATGCTGCGGGGAGCGGTGATCATCTTCACGGGCTTGTTCTCCGTGGCCTTCCTGGGGCGGAGGCTGGTGCTGAGCCAGTGGCTGGGCATCCTCGCCACCATCGCGGGGCTGGTGGTCGTGGGCCTGGCCGACCTCCTGAGCAAGCACGACGATCAGCACAAGCTCAGCGAAGTGATCACAGGTGCCGCGGGGTCGGGGACTGGGGGCTGCCCTCCTGCCCTCTCTGGCAGCCCAGCACAGAGCCAGTGACCTGTGCTGCGTGCCAAGCCCCGGGTGGGCATGTGGGGACCAGCCACTGTGGACGTGCACCTGCTCTCAGGTTGCCACGTAGGGTTAGAGAAGGCCAGAGGCCCACACAGCGTGAGAAAGGGGTGGATAAGGACCCGGAGGTCAGAGGAAGCAGAGAGCTGGTGCTGTGCTGTACGTACACACACACACACACACACACACACACACACACGCTGCTGGGTTTGGGAGAGGAGAGGAATGAACCTTTATTGAGCACTTACTCCAGAGACTGCAGTGCAGCCCATCCTACAGTGAAGTGACCGCCCTGGGCGCTCAGAGGTAGGATTAAACCAGAACTGTTTGTTCCCAAGCCTGTGCTCCAAAGAGCTGCGTACCCCATTCTGCAGGCCTCCGGACCTTCTGGGACCTTGGCCCAGAGGGGGTGCGGTGCCTGCCTTACCAACCTACCTCCCACATAACCCCACAGAGGCCAGCAGAGCAGTTATGTTGTGACTGTGCCTCGTGAACTATATTGCCCTGCAAAAGTCACAGGCTGCTGTTTTGTCCCCTTGGGGGCTGTCTTCCCTCCGCTTTGGGCCCGCCACCCTGCCCACAGCCCCGTGGCCCTCTGGCTCCCTGCCTCCCTCACCCGGGCCCTGTTGGTCCTTCCCCACAGGGGACCTGCTCATCATCATGGCCCAGATCATCGTCTCCATCCAGATGGTGCTCGAGGAGAAGTTTGTCTACAAGCACAACGTGCACCCTCTGCGGGCAGTTGGCACGGAGGGTGAGTGGGCACAGGGGCTGGGGGAGGGCGCCGGTCAGGGGGCCCGCTGGAGGGCAGCGTGTGGAGTGAACGCACATGTAGGAGCACTGGGGCCGCCTGGAGGGGTGAGCATCCTGCCCCCTCCCTTCCTCTCTGCCACGTGTGTCGTGCACACGGCTGGGAGCTCAGGGAGGACGAGGCTGAAGATGAATGAGTTGTGAGCCTCACCCTGGAGGCGCTGACCAGCAAGAAGTGGCCAAGTACTGGTTTGAGCTCAGGCCCCCTGTGCTCAAGTGAAGTTGTACCTGCCAAGCCTACCTGAGCGCCTTGGGACAGGGAAGGTGGCATTCGAGCTGCAGTTTCAGCAGGCAGAGTAGGAAGGAGGGAACCCCGGACAGAGCGAAGACATGGGGAGCTGGACGTGAGTTTCCAGCCCCGTGGGGAATAGTTTGGGCGAGATGCAGGTTTGATGTTGGGAGAATGATCAGGTCAGGTTCCGATGGAGAACCTTGAACATCAGGCAAGTGAATTTAAGTGGCAGGCAGGGAAGAACCAGCAGGTTTGGAGCAGGGAAATAGCTATTAAAATGATGCTTTAAAAACATGACAGTAGCGGGGAGGACTAGAGCAGTGCTACCAAGTGTGGCCCGTGGCTAGCCAGGTGCTCTCTGCGCCTGGTCCTCAGAGAGCCAAGGGCCATGGCAGAATGCTCATAACCGAGTCAACGACATTGTCCAGCATACTCTGCTTCTGCTCTTCTTTTCCCAGCAAGGCTTTCTGAATGAAGCGGTGCGTCGATTTACATTCTGCTTCAGCTCCTTACTTACCACAGGCCAGTGACGCTGAATGAGAGCAGTTTTCCACACCTGTGGGCACCGTAGTGGTTATAGTCAGCAGTTCTCTTTTAAGTGAGTCAACTGGAATTTAGAAGTCAGAGAGCATTGCACGTTGTAAGGGTAGCTGTTGTTCTGTGAAAGTGAAAACGTGCGCGCGATTGTGTGTGTGTGTGTGTGTGTGTGTGTGCGCGCGCGCCTGTGCACACATGCCCTGGTCGCAGAGTAAAATGCATTTCTTTCGGTGTCATCGGAAAATGTGGGTTAACATGGAGAAGGGCAGCTGGAGCCCCTTCAGTGGCCGTTGTGAACCCCGGCTGAGAGGGGACGGCTCTCGGTCCTGAGAGGAAGGCCCTCGTGTGCGGGGCCAAGGAGGGGGTGGCAGGAGATCGGGCGAGGTGGCCCCAATGTGCTGGGAGTGGGAGTCGGGGCCGAGCAGAGTGTGACGTGGTCCCTTCCCTCTGCAGGCCTCTTTGGCTTCGTGATCCTGTCCCTGCTGCTGGTGCCCATGTACTATATCCCCGCCGGCTCCTTCAGCGGGAACCCTCGGGGGGCGCTGGAGGACGCCCTGGACGCCTTCTGCCAGGTGGGCCGGCAGCCGCTCATCGCCCTGGCGCTGCTGGGCAACATCAGCAGCATCGCCTTCTTCAACTTCGCGGGCATCAGCGTCACCAAGGAGATGAGCGCCACCACCCGCATGGTGCTGGACAGCCTGCGGACCGTCGTCATCTGGGCCCTAAGCCTGGCGCTGGGCTGGGAGGCTTTCCACCCGCTGCAGATCCTCGGCTTCCTCATCCTCCTGATGGGCACTGCCCTCTACAACGGGCTGCACCGCCCGCTGCTGGCCCGCCTGGCCCGCAGCCGGTACCCAGCGGAGGAGGGCGAGCGAGAGCGCCTGCTGGATCCCTCTCAGACGCTCATCAACGATGCCAGCTGAGCCTCCCCCGGGCCTGCTGCCGCGTGGACGCACCTCGTTCGCCCTAAGGCTGAGGCCGCACAGCCTTGTGAGCCTCAAGCTCCCTGTCCCCAAGGCCTCGCCCTGCCCCTCCCCACAGACCCCCAGGACAGACCCCCGGACCACAGACCATGACAGGTCCTCCTTTGCCACCACCTCCCTTGGGCCTGAATGCAGTGACCCACGCCAAGCTCGCCCAGGCCCCCACAGCAGCACTAACGGTGGAATTGCAGGGGTAACACCCCAAGCAAAATTATTCTAATCCCAAGCAAAATTATTCTCCAGAGAAGAGAGGTCAGTGAGCAGATTCAGAGCAGAACCAAGTGCCCCGTTTTTGAAACGTGTAAGGTGTCCCCTAGCGCTGTCCGGAGCCTTCGGTTTTGCTGACTCAGCCTGTGCTCCCAGCCCCTTAGTCGCTCTGGGCCTCCCTGGTGTCCCGCTCCGGGAAGCAGATGGTGTCAGCCTGCGCCTTCGGAGCCTTCCAACCCCAGCTGGGTCCTTTGTGTGGCCTGAGGTTTTGACCAACTGGGGAAGGAGTGACAGCCATTCACTGGGAATTCCCTCTGCCCACAGGCCTCCCCCAGGCCTGTTTGGTGCCCAGGTGTCCTTGTCGCACACCCTCAGGGCTCCCCTTCCTGGGAGAGATTGCAGGGGAGTTCCAGGCAGCCCTTATGGGAGCAGCTTGTATGACTCTGCACCTTCCATTTTACTTGAGGCCCAAAACTGTAAGTTGTTTGGCAAGCCCGGTGCCCTGCCATGGCTTTGGCCATGTAGCTGCATGGTCCTGCCACAGCTGGCCCTCAGCCCCCCTCCAGGGTGACGGATTGGCCAGGATCCTGCCTGTTCACAGTGATTCTGGCCTCCCAGGCTTTGTACAAAAGTGCTTAACTTTCATTCCATCACGTAACAACCTGCACAGGTGGGTGCAGATGAGGAAACCTAGGCAGAGAGGTTAAGTGACTTCCTGACAGAGCAGATGTTTAAGTAATGAAATCTGATTCCAAATCTGTAGCCACCCTCCTCTTCCTCCCTTCCCCCCCCACCATACTGGTCTCTCTCTGGGGTCTTTGGGGGATTTTCTGTGGCTGGGATAGAAACATCATGAGCTGGTATCCTCCCAGTAGCTCCCCCTCAGCCCCCTCAAAGAGAGGCAGCTGGCATTGGGGACCCCAGGGAGCCGAATGGCCCTCCTTCCCAGTGTTCCTCACTCCCTGACAGTTTCTGGGGCCTCAGACCATTTTTTCTGGGCAGCTCGCATAAAACACCAAATGCCTTCGTTAAAATCAAGTCCAGGGGAAGGGATCTTTGGCAAGCAGAACCCTCAGGCTGTGTGGGAAGCCAGCAGGTTGCTAAAGTTTGTTGGGAGGAGCGGGTCTGTCTTTCCCACCAGCCCTGAGTCTCTGGGACGCTGTGTGTCACAGGAAGAAGAAATGGAGAGTGAGGGTCCTGGGGACTACAGCTGCTTTGTCCAAAAACAAAAACAAAAGAAAAGCCTGCCTTGGGACCTTTTAGCCTTTCTGTTAAAAAAGAAAAGGGAAATTAGCTATATGGATTTTTTTTTTTAATTGGGGTGTTCTAGAATGTTGGATGGGAAAGTGTTCATGTGCCAAAGCATGGAAACCACCCCATCCATCGTCCATTGTTCAGATGAAGAAACTGAAGCCCAGAAAGAGGAAGCAGGGCGTGCAGCCGGGAGCCTGTACCCGGACCTCAGGACTGTACAGGCCAACGCACAGTGGGGTGTCATATAAGGCTGCACTGTGCGCCAGGGTGGTCTGCTGAGCACCCTGGACCATCAACTTTTATTTATGTTACTGAGTTTATTGGGGTGACACTGGTTTGCAAAACCATACAGTTTTCAAGTGTACAACTCAATAAAACATGCACCCTGTATCAAGTGTCCTTTGCCCATGGCCATGAGCTTTGTTCGGAGGGGAAGGAACATTTTATTGTACACACTATCATGGAGTGGAATATAAAATCCACACAGATTGCTCTAGCTGGTCTGTCTCAGTGGATAGAGCATCGGCCTGCAGACTGAAGGATCCCAGGTATGATTCAGGTCAAGGGCACGTGCCTGGGTTGCTAGCTGGATCCCCAGTGGGGGGGTGTGCAGGATTCCCTCTTTGATGTTTCTATGTTTTATTCTTATTACCCAGTTCTACACTTGGCCTGAATTCGGATTATCCGCAACAGGAAGGAAGGTGACCTGTCCCTGGGATAATTCTATTGTAATGTCTGAGAGTGTGACCCAAGAAGAATAGTGCTGAGGTCCACAGATCCCTATCAAGAACATGCAGTTAAACTGGCCGGTGAGTCACATTTGGGGGTGCTCCCGGGAGAGTCACAGGCGCGACATGGGGTTGTCACGTTCTCTGTAGGTCTGTTTGCTCATCTTTAAACGCCATCTCTGGGTAGACAGAGCAAAACATAAAACGTTTGAGCAAAGTGACTTGTCAGAAACGCGTCCTACAAACTCATCTCCACCTCCAGAATCGATCTTTCCTTTGTCCACCAGAGGGCACCAGAGGACATGAGTCTGACAGCGACGCCACAACCTAGAAGGGAGAAAGCCCCGCCTCCTTTCACTTCTTCAAGCGTCCATTGGCCTGTCCGACCATCTGTCTTCCATGTCCCCGTTCCTCTCCCAATCGCCGCCGCCGTCAGCCTCCAGGCCTGTGCTCTCATTGGTCGCCCCGCGGTCGCTCTGCTCCGGAGGCAGCCACTGGGAGCCGCCGGATTCGGTTTTAAAAAACGCCCGCAGAGATCGGCGGCGCGAGCCATTGGAACCCCAGGCAGCGTGTTGCGCGTGGGTCCGGCCCCGCGGGCGCAGGCGACCGGGGCGCTCCCAGGCCTCCCAGGCGCCAGCCTCCGCCCGCGAGCCCAGGAGGCGGGGAAGGAGCCGCGCACCGAGACCCTCCGCGTCCGCCATGGGCCCGCGCCGCCGGGGACGCAAGGCCGGCACCCCCAGGAGGCGCGCCGCGAGCCCGGCCCCCGCCGCCCCGGCCCCCGCCACCCCTCGGCGGGGCGCCCCCTCAGGTAACCGAGCCGGACCCCCTGCAGCCTGTCTGTAAGCTGGGCGCGGCCGGCCCCGCGTGCCCATTTCACAGACGGGAACGCCGAGGCCCGCCCGCTGAGCCCGGGCTTCAGCCCGATCTCCGAGCTCCCGGTCCGCAGGCCTTCCAGCACCTGCTCGGAGCTGGTCCCCAGCTCCAAGCCGCGCAAAGGGACCGGGGAAGGTAGTTCCGAGGAGAAAGGCCTGGCCCAACTCCCTCCTAAGGCGACTCTTTCTTGATACCGCTAGCATTTATCGAGTGCGTACCCCCGACTGGCCATTGTGCTAACTCTGCGTGAATGATCTCTACCTTATGTTGTGACCATTGTGCAGAGGAGAACTCTGAGCTGCCGGGAGGCCAGGTAACTTGATGGTCACACCGCTTGTTCTGGCGGACGCAGGTTTTCCTTGGTCGATGTTTGTGTTTTCATCTATATATATGTCTATAATTGATTTTTACAGAGAGGGAGAGAAAGCTAGAAACATCGATGAGAGAGAATCATCATTCCGCTGCCTCCTGCACATCTCCTACTGGGGATGTGCCTGCAACCAAGGCACATGCCCCCCGACGGGAATCGAACCTGGGACCTTTCAGTCCGCAGGCCGATGCGCTATCCACTGAGCCAAACCGGTTTCGGCTGTTTGTGCTTTCTTAAGTTGCAAAATCGCCGGTTGCTTTTTTTGTGACTATTTCGAACAATGATTCTATTAGAGGGTTCTCTGCTCTGTTTGTTTTGTTTTTCCTTCCTTGAGTGTCCGCGTTGGGCCCTAACCTGTGCCCTTAACGCAAGCAGAGCGCTCACCTTGCTCCCTCTGGGAGGTGTGAGCGCAGGAAGACCCCCGGCCGGCCTGTGGTCCTCAGTATCTGCGCCTGGAGGAGAGGCCCCTGTGCATTGCCACCCCTGCTTCACTTGCCTTCTGCTGCATGGCTGCGTTGCGAGCAGGGTGGGGGAAAGTGTATTGTAGATTCTTTATAGATGTTGCTATTGTGAATGTGTTTTATTTTTCTTTCCTAATTATAGTAAATAACCTTTGCACCCAGCCAAGTCGCTGAATTTTCTTGTTAATCCTAATAGTCTTTTTTGTCACTTGATTGAAATGTTTAACTAGGCTGTTGTTTTGTCTTCAGAGAATGACTTCCGAATCTTTTTTATTTGTATACATTTTACTTATTATTGTATTGTACTAGAAGCCCAGTGCACAAAATTAGTGCATGGGGGTGACTGGGGCATCCCTCAGCCCAGCCTGCACCCTCTCCAATCTAGGACCCCTCAGGGGATGTCTGACTGCCGGGTTAGGCCCAATCCCACAGGACAGTCGGACATCCCTCTCACAATCCAGGACTGCTGGCTCCCAACCACTCACCAGCCTGCCAAACAGATTACCCCCTAAACCACTCCCCTGCCAACCTGATTGCCCCCAACTGCCGACCCAGTCGCCCATAATTGCCCTCCCCTGCTGGCCTAGTCATCCATAACAGCCCTCCCCAGCAGGCCTGGTTGCCCCCAACTGCCCTCCCCTGCCAGCCCATTTGCCCCCAACTGCCCTCCCCTGCAGGCCTCGTCACCCCCAACTGCCCTTTGATCCCAGCCCGGTCAGTCTTAACTGTCCTCCCCTGCTGGCCATCTTGTGGCGGCCATATTTGACCACATGGGGGTGGCCATCTTGTGCGACTGTGTGAGGGTCGATTTGCATATTACCTCTTTATTATATAGGACTATATTGGATTAGTGAGGCCCTGAGACTAGTATTGAAATAAGAACAGTGTTTTCACCATCTTTGTCTCATTAAGTAAGATGTTTGCTGTTGCTTTCCTATATAGAAACATCTCTCTTCTCCTGGTTAAATTAAATGATTATCACAGATGGACACCCCACATTTTCTGGGGGTCTGACTGCGCTGGTCGGGCAGTCTTGCCTTTCCTTTACCCACTGACTGTTCCATACATTTTTCTTCCTCTGCAAATTGCTACAACTCCAGACCCCATCTCACTCAGCTGCCTCATGCTTCGCTGAGGAAATAGAAGCCTCCAGACTGCACCCCCTTATCTTCTCACAACAGAACTAGGTGTCCCCCTTCCATCAAAAGCCACTCCTCCTCCGACAGGGCTCTCGGTCAAATTCTTCTCCTAAATTCCCGGAGCTTCCTGTTAGCCTCTCCACCTCACTTAGCATTACGTTCACACTCCTCACATGGGCATTCTGCCATTTCTGATCTAAAGGTGAAGGGCAGCCTGGCAGGTGTGGCTCAGTGGTTGAGCATTGGCCCATGAACCAGGAGATTACAGTTGGATTCTGGGTAGAGGCACATGCCTGGGGCTCAATCCTTGGTGTGGGGTGTGCAAGGGGCAGCTGATCAACGATTCTCATCATTAATGTTTCTTTCTCCCTCTCCCTCTCCCTTCCTCCGGAAAAAAAAAAAAAAAAAAAGGTCTCACCCTAGCCAGTTTGGCTCCATGGGTAGAACATTGGCCTTCGGACCAAAGGGTCCCAGGTTCGATTCAGGTCAAGGGCATGCACCTTGGTTGCAGACTCCTCCCCATCCCCTCCCCCACCCCCCCCCCCTGGTTGGGGCTCCTGCAGGAGGCAACCAATGGATGTGTTTCTCTCACATGGTTATCTCTCTCTGTCTCTCCTCCTGCCTTTCACTCTCCCTAAAAATCAATGGAAAAATATCCTCAGGTGAGGATTAACAACAACAACAAAAGCCTCGATGTCTTTTGTCTACGAACTCAGAGTCCTCTAGTATTTGTGGAGTTTGGTTCACTCCTTTCATGGAGTTGGCCTTCGTAGATTGTGCGGTGACCTTTGTGGCGTTCTGTGAGGCTGAGTCTGGGCCAGTGATTAGATTGTTGGCTGCTGGTAAGGAAGGAGGCAGATGCCAGGAGCTTGCCTCCTGGGTACGTGCCTCCCTCTTTCTCCCAAATGTCACCGATCCCCTGGACATTGCTCTGCTCTTTCGGCCCACACTGCCCCACCCAGGGATAGAGTCTCCACGGCCCGTTGTGTGGCGTAAGGTGTCTCTCCGATTGCCTCGCCGACCCCATTTGCCCCTGCAGCTTTTCTCGCCCTCGGCAATGAGCGCGCTGTGCTCCATCCCTGCTATTGAACCACGTGGTGTGGGTTCTCGTTTCCTGGCTGGCCGTGAGCCACATTTGTGAAACTGAGTTTACCCTTCAGAATGTTTTTGAGGGTTACTTTGTTTTTATTCTTCATCCCACTTCTTAGAGGTTCATTTGTTTCTGTTGGCCCATGATTTAATTTATGGAGCAGCAATACTGTTTTCTGTTTTTACTCTTTTTAATTTATTGTCTTGAATATTTCTTGGATTCCACCTCCTGGCTTATTTTATTCTCTTCCTAACAACTGAGCACTTCCTAACACTATTTAAAGATAGCATTTGGTCAGCTACCTTTACATGTTCTTATTTTCTAGTAAATAGATCTTGAGGCTATACATTTTCCTGGAGTACTATTTGGCACTATCTCATATGTTTTGATAGGTAGATTTTATTTTTATTCATTTCTAAATAACTCATTTCAACTAAGTGTCCTCTTCAACACAAAAGTTAGAAAAAATTAGTTTTTAATTTCTGATCAGAGAGTTTGACTTTTTTTTATTTCTACTTTGGGTTTGGTTTGTTTTTTTCCCTTCTTTCTTATTTTTGCTGTTGGAACTAGGCTGTGAGCCACACCCTCTTCACTCCGCAGCCCACCAGCCTGACATTGGCACTGAGCTATGCCGCTCTGAGGGCCCACTCTGGCCACCAATGAGCTCTGGTCAGGTGTCTCCACCTCTCTGGGCCTAAGGATTACCGGATACAGATCCTCTCTCAGAGTCCTTCCAGCTCCCCCCAAAAGATCTAGAAACAAAATAATTGGGTTTCCAGTCGAGGTGGGGAAGTCAGAAGAGAGGAACAGAATATTGTGGGGCCCAGAGGAGGGAGGTGACCCACCAGTTTAGAAAGGGTTGGAAGTCAGAAAAGGATGCCTGCGAGAACTGGCATCTATGTAATAAAAGGCTAATATGTAAATTACCCCCTTGACCGGGAGTTTGACTAGGAATTGGACTGGGGAAGGGGGAAGGGGTGCGGCCGGCCAACCCAATGGTCCCCCACCCCAACCAGGGGGGGGCTGGTGCCTCTTCCACTGGACACCCCCCCCCCCCCATGCACAAATCCAGGCCTCTAGTTTAAGAGAATACCCGGAAAGGGTCATTCATTCCGTTAACAGATATTTATTTAGCACTTCCCTGCTGCTTTCCAGATACTGAAGATAGCTGCAGTAAATAAAATAGACAAAAATCCCTGCTTTTGTGGATTATATTATAACCTAGCAATTTTTAAAATATATATATATCTTACGATTTTTTACGGAGAGGAAGGGAGAAGGATAGAGAGATGGAAACATCAATGAGAGAGAAACATCGATCAGCTGCCTCTTGCACACTGCCTACTGGGTATGTGCCTGCAACCAAGTTATATGTCCTTGACCGGAATTGAACTTGAGACCTTTCAGTCCGCAGACTGACGCTCTATCTACTGAGCCAAACCAGTTAGCGTGACCTAGCAATTTATAAAACATATTTTTATTGATTTCAGAGAGGTAGAGAGACATCAGTGATGAGAGAATCACTGATCAGCTGCCTCCTGCACACCCCCCACTGGAGATCAAACCCACAACCCGGGCATGTGCCCTGACCAGGAGTTAAACCACAACCTCCTTCATAGGTTGATGATCAGCCACGGAGCCACGCTTGCTGGACACGGTCTCGCAATTAGTTTGACAGCCAAACTTCCAGGCAGCCTCTGTTTTCTGCTGCACCTCACCCTGTGTTTGACTCAACTCCCTTTTTTTTTTAAATAGATTTCACTGAAGCGGGGAGAGGGACTTCTATTTGTTGTTTCACTTACTTATGCATTCATTGGTTGATTCTTATATGTGATCTGACTGGGATCGAACTCACAACCTTGGTGATTCAGGACAAAGCTTTAGCCAGGGCTGACTCCGCTCTTTTGCTTAGGCGCTCCTTCCCGTCCACCTGCGCGCCCATCTCTGCGCCCATCTGCCCGCCGGGGACATCTGATTTTGAAGGAGATCCGGAACCTTCAGAAGAGCACGCACCTGTTATTAAGGAAGATGCCCTTCTGCCGCCTGGTGAGCTCCGCCCCCCCCCCCCCCCCCCCCCCGTGCTGCCTCCTTTCTTTAAACGTCCCCTGTATTGGGGCCCCAAATGGCCAATGGACCTCTTCTCTGGCTTGGTTAGGGGTTTTCTAAAAACATGAGCCTGCCAAGGGTACCTTCCAACAAATCATGGAATTAATTTCCAACCCCCACCACCTTTGGGACTGTGTTCTTTGATTACGTACATAGAAGCCCTCTCATCCACTCTCTCATCCCTCTGCCCTCTGCTGGGAAATTGCCTTCTCCTCTGCCCACCTCCAGTTCCTGAGCTCCCGGGAGCTGATACCTGCTACTCGTTAGGCCCAAAGATTAAGGACCAGGAAGGTATAACGGTCATGGAAATTGGCAGAGACTCACTCAGAGAGAGAGGCTGATCTTCGCCCGAGTCTCTATTCTGTTACCCTCTGCTCCTCCCCACTCACCTCCTCCCTCGCCTCCCATCTCCACTCCTTCACAGGTCAGAGAAATATGTGTTAAATTCACTCGTGGTGTGGACTTCAATTGGCAAGCCCATGCCCTGCTGGCCCTACAGGAGGTAAGAAGAGGGCGTTGGTACCGTTGCGGGAGGGCTGAGTATGGGAGAAAGGGGTGGCGTTCCACGGGGCTGGCTATGGCGCGTCGCACTACCTCCAGGAAAAGAGCCACAAGAGCGCAGGGTTTGGGGCAGGATCTGGCCCAGGATCTGGTCTGGCAGGAGCAGAGTTCCCAGGTCGCTCAGGCTCCTTCTGTGGACAGCCTTGTCTATAGTCCTTCGAGCCCCTATCCCCCTCCCCCCCTCCCCGTCCCCCCAGACTGAGCGGGGCAGACCCCAGGGAAAAAGCAGCCCGTGCCCCTCGCCAGGCCAGTCCACTGTGTTTCCGTCCCCAGGCGGCAGAAGCGTTCCTAGTCCATCTCTTTGAGGACGCCTACCTCCTCTCCCTGCATGCCGGGCGCGTCACCCTCTTCCCGAAGGATGTGCAGCTGGCCAGGAGGATCCGCGGCATCCAGGAAGGGCTGGGCTGAGCAGCCGCCCCGTAAGCCTGTCCTGCCCGCCAGGGCCCGGTGGGGGCGGGAGGAGCGCCCGCTTCTCATCCGTGGGGAGGGAGGGTGAGTTTCGCTGAAAGAATTTCTTTCCTCATCCTTAGGTCCTTGCCCTCTTGCCTTCCCTTGGTTCTTGAGAAAAAAATTTGACCTGGTTTTACCTTAAATATTTGGGACTCTGGGGCTCGTGCCCTTTGTACAAAGTTAAATAAAGATGCTTTTCTATTAAGTAGTGACCAGATGACCCAAGTTTCTGTCCAAAATAAACCTTTGTCTTATAAGGACCAGACAGCCTCATTTTGATTAAAAGAAGGTTTTCTTACTTTTGAAAATGCCTTGTTAGTAAATGCGATTTCTTAATTTCAGGGATGATGATACCAGGGACTCTGTCTGGAGCCGGGACCAGATCTGTGGAGTCCAGGATCCTGCCTGGACTTGCTGTCTCTGAGCCGAGTGTGCAATTTGGTTTTGTAATGTTTTTTGTTGTTTTTTTTAAGAACTTTGTGGCTCTCCTCTGCAACAGGGTCATGTATAAGAAAATTAACATGGTTCCAGAGGCCTGAGAAGTATTTTCAGAGAGACTCTGAGGTTGCCTTCCATGAATACATCACTCACATCACTGCTTAGTGATTCTGAAGACATCAGATTTGTTAATTACCATTCACATCTCCCTCCTCCCTTCGTTTACATTTTTTACCGTATGTATATTTACTCGCATTTTACGCACCAGGGAAAAATAAGAGAAGAACACTTCCGTCCGTTGCATGGGGAGCCTGTACCTCTCTGTCCTTCAATCAACTTCATTGGCGGCGGCGGCAGCAAGAGCCGATGCAGAGCCTCACGCTGTCCCCGTGGCCCAATGGCCTGACGTTGGTACTGAGCCTTGTACCAGTGTCAGGCCACTGGGTTATGGAGTCGGTGTGTGGTGGCTGTCAAGTATAGCTTCTCAAGAACTCAGTTGGGGTGGAAGCTGAATATCTTTTAAAGTTAAATGTTCCGACTCTTCTTAGTAAATGTCTGTCAAAATCATTCAGGAGCTCTATCATATACAAATGTGTAAATCACAGAAGATGCAACATGTATTTAGAATTTTTCATCCCAGGATTTTAAAGTGACTTTTCAATGTATAGACAGGTATTTTCATAACTTCTTTGCGGAGAGATTATAAAAAATAAAAATTATTTTATGAAACAAGCTTGAAGCAAAGTCACTGTTAACAGCATACTTGTATATTTTGTATGTTAACTTCATTTGTACACCGCAAACCGCTGAAATGTAAATGAGAGAACCCTGTAGAGTAGGGAGCAGATAAAAATTTTGCATATATATATATATATATATATATATTTTTTTTTGTGTGTGTGTGTGGGATCCCCTTTCACAACCCGTGTGGTTCAGGGTCCCTGTTCAGGGTTCAGGTTCTGGAGAAGGACCACACACAAATGAAGAGACTAGAAGAAATTTAATTTTGCAATATGGGAGGGGCCAGGCAGTAGTCCAACTCTAGTGGGAGAGCTACCCACTGCTCTGGCCTTGCTGTACCTTTTATTGAGGCCATGGGGAAACACCCGGAGCCCTCAGGCAGGAAATAATAGAAACTTACATGAGACACAGAGGTGGAGGCTGCTTCAGCTAACAATATCTCAACTAAAGGGTGAGTGGTTAGAGCAATTAGTAGTGTTGTTGACAGCCTTCCTGGCTTCCTGTTCACATCTCTATCAGTGAAACAGTAGTTGGTTTCCGGCATTTTTTTACAGAGAGAAAGGGAGAGAGATAAGAGAGTTAGAAACATGGATGAGAGAGAGTCATAGACCAGCCGCCTCTTACACACCCCCTACTGGGGATGAGCCCGCAACCAAGGTACATGCCCTTGACCAGAATCGAACCTGGGACCTTTTAGACCACAGGCTAACGCTCTATCCACTGAGCCAAACCAGTCAAGGCTGAAAGCACTTCAAGAGATTTCTAGACAAAAAGGAACTGCCACCTGAAGAGTCTTAGAAAAAAAATATGTCTAGAAAAATGATTAGAGCACACTAGTCAACTGATTAGAGACAAACTAAAGGGAAGGACCAGGTTCTATGGTTTAATACAGTGGTTGGCAAACTCATTGTCAACAGAGCCAAATATCAACAGTACAGTGATTGACATTTCTTTGGAGAGCCAAACTTAACTTAAACTATATAGGTAGGTACATTGTTATTAACTTAATAAGGGTACTCCTAAGCTGGCCTTTGCTAAAAACTCAAGGGGCCAAAGAGCCACAGTTTGCTGACCACTGGTTTAATACATTTTAGCCTTGTTTGACCTCAAGTCATAGTTATGCAGGCATTCAAATAAAGCTTATATGTCTGTTAATATATAAAGTTTTTGGCAAAGCGTTATTAATTAGAAGATGATCAGTTTTCTCCAAATTGTACTAAGCAGGATACCATTACCACCAACACATGTCCACATGCCCCATGCCCTTGGTATGTGGTTATCACAGCAAGGTTAAAAGAAAGAATGTATGATGATCCCCACATTCTGTAGGAGAACTAAAGCTCAGATGGTTGAGCTAACTCTCCAGGGTCAAATATCCAGAAAGCACAAAAGATTCCAGCCTGTAGTCTATATTTTCCAGGAGAGAGAGCCTAGATTATAAACAAATGTAAAATTCACAACCCCAGGTTTGGGTGCAATTTCCATCAATGTTCTGGGTGGACAGAGGACTTCCAGGCAGCTCTTTTCTGACCAAAGAAGGTGGGTACGAGAAAGCAGAGGCAAGAGTCCATAGGAGGTCCACTAAGTGTTGCAGAAAACGTTTACTGCCACTAGAGGGCTCCCTCGCCTTGGGCAAGAAGCGCAGCATGGCACTGGCAAGCTGCTGTGAGGCGCGAACCTGGGCTCCACTCTGCCTCCCCTAGCTGCCTGGGGGCGTCCATAGGACAGTGCCCCACCCTGGAGTAGTGGGGGAAAGGACGAGTCATGACCCCCAAGTATTCACAGCCACATCCCAGGCTCCCCTTCAAGTTGGGGTTTGCCAAGCCTTGGCCAACCCGGGGGGTACTGTGGGGTGGGCCCCAGGCTCATTGGGCTCCCTACATAAGCTAATGATTGGAGGAGAGCAGAGAAGTAAAACTTCCTCCCAGATGATGTGGAAACTCAATGGAGGTAATCCAGAGGTGCATCCCCCAAGTGCCAGCATGGCCTGCCCAGGTCCTGAGCCCTTGCGGAAAGTGGCCCGGGCACCTCACTCCGGCGCCCGGGTGGATTTTGCTGAGATGGAGGGGACACCTCCAGAGTAGCGAGACATGGTTGTGTTTGAAAATATCCCGCTGGGGAATCCTCCTCTGGGGCCGTGCAGCTGCAGCCGGGCACTCCCTCACCTCCACCCCTCGGGGCTGCTGGGGAGGGGCTTCCGCAGCCGCAGTGAGAGAGCGAACGCGGGATGGGGCTGGAAGCAAGGACTCCGTGCTGCACTTGAACACCGTACCAATGGCAGTGCTTCTGGGGTGGCATGAAGTCAAAAGAGGCAAATTACTAAACTGTATGTAAGCTATCATTACAAATACATAAAATAGCACATGATAAAGGCTTGAGAAGAGATCAGGAGATGGTACGAAGGTGTAGTGATTTTTTTTTTAAAGATTTGCTGTGTTTGCTATATAAATTACGTGCACATTTAAAGCGGGAAGATACAAGGTGAAGCAAATGTAAATGAGTTCTAAAACCTGTCCAGAGGCTTCGCCGTCCCCCGATGAAGGGGAATCAGAAATAGGACGGCGGCTGGACCTGGGAGCTCTGGATGGAGAAGCCCTAGCTAAGGCTTCTCCATCCAGAGTGAACTCGGGTTCGAGCCACAACAGCGGGGAGATGCGAACGTAGGAGGCCCGAGGTGGCCGTCCACTTTGTACGTGAGGACATTTCCCCACGATGACAGCCCCTGCCCTCTCCATCCCGGGATCCCGCCGAGCGTCCACTCCGCAGGCGTCGGTCTGGGTCTGGGCAGGAGCCGGGAGGCTACGGCCGGGCCAGCAGCGGCCAGCAGCGAAGGGCAGGGCCTGCCGCCGCGGGGCAGGGGCCGCGGGCATTGTCTCAGCCCCTCGGGTGAGGTCCTGCGGGGGGCGGGGGGCGGGGGAGGGAGGCGGTCCGCCCTCGGGGACCGCCGCGTGGTCCTCCCCGGGGACCGGTGCATCAGTCTGAGAGCCTGTGCTTTGTGCACGGCCGGGAGTCGCCATGGAAACCCAAAGGCGCGCGGCGCAGGTCACCGGGGGCATGGGCGGCAGCGGATTCCGCGCCTCGCCCTCCGTCCCCTTTCGGACCCCCGGGCTCTGTCGCAGGGGCTGCCGGGAGTTGTAGTCCCGAGTCCCTGGCGGCGACCGTGTGTGCGCGTCGCCGAAGATGCCGGGCACCGCCTGTCCCCGCCTGTCCCCGCCTCCCCCCACAACCTGCTAGACTAAAGCGAGGCGGGGGGCACCGGGGCGGAGCCGGGGGAGCCGTGATTGGCCGAGGCCGCCTCCAGTCCCTACCTCCCTCCCCTCCCCCCGCTCCAGGCTCGGGGACTCCAGCGCCCGGCGCGCCCCGGCTGCTCTCCAGCGAGCGAGCGCGCGTGCAGCCGCCGCCGCCCCGGCACCCGCAGCTCCGGCGCCGCCGCGGCGACACCCGCGAGGAGAGACGGGCGATCCCACGGCCCCCTGCAGCCGCGGCACCCTGGACGAGTGGGTGATGGCGGGGTGATGGCTGATGGCGGGCGGGGGCCCTTCTCCGCGGCCTGGGGCATCCATCTCCCGACCTCTGTGTCCCGGAGAGGCTCACAAAAGGGCGGGGATGGGGGTGCGCCGAGGGCGGCCCGGCTGCGGGGACCGCGGGGAGAGGATGCGTTGGGGCGGTGGGCGGCTGTCGAGGCTACCCTGGGGCTCGAATCCGGTCCTTGTTCACAGTAGGCGTCTACTGTGTGCTCGCTCGTGGAATTGCAGAGGATGGGAGCGAAGAGGCGGCGT